CACCCGCCATTTCTTCGTAAAGCCTAAAAGTTGACTATAAGAAAGTCAGCTTGATGGTTTCACTAGGCTTGGTTTGATGCTTACCGACTATAGAGAGAAATGCTTTAGGAAGCGAGGGGTCTTGTCGGCATTACGTCCGACGGAGGAATAGGCGGGGCTGTTACGGCCTAACGTCATATGACAGGGGCCAAGTCGGAATAATAAGGCAGTAATAATGAGGCATGTTAGTCGTCAGTTCCGGAAGTTCATTGTACGGAGACGCATGCAAAATGGAAAGTGGTATTGTGGTTTTCCCACTTTGTTGTGTAGCAAATGATGATACATTGGCGTCTCTGGAGAGGACGCATGATGAGTAGCAATTCTCGTAGTCCTCATTTCCCCCATCTCGTGCACACATTTTATGTACTGTAACCGCTAGCTTGTGTCCCAAGCACTTTCAAAGTCAGCTCGTTTCAGACGGCCGAGATATATAGATATACTCCGCAGGCATATAGAGAGAAAAAGGTAGACTACTTGCATACACAATGTAAAATTGTTCACCTCGCTAACATCTGTGTGAATCAGAGGATCAAAAATTTGGGACGATTTAGGACCTATGAGATAGGCAAAGACAACCATTGGATCGCTTCCTCACGCTAAGTCATTTTCAATTGCTACCCCCCTGGACTATGAATCCTCCGCCACGCCCGGAATCCTCAGTCAGTTGGAGACGTAGACTCTCTAACTCCTTGTGCATCGACTCCCGACTAGCATTTCCCTGAAGGCATTCAAAGTCGAGAAGTTTTACCCCTCCTTCCGCTACGAGAAAGTTGTATCGGTTCGCATCCCCATGTAAAAATCCCAATTCGTGGAGTTTCCCCAGAGCTGCTTCGCAGATATCCAGATCCTGAATGGAAGCAGGGCGTCCTTCTATTTTCTCTAATAGAAACCCCATGATGCGTCCATTTTCATGAATATGGCCGAGGAAGCGCGGCGTCAGCCCGGAATACTCCAGCAGCTGATATGCTCTTGTTTCTCGTTCGATACGAGGAATCTCCCATTCGAAACGAGCTATTTTAGCGATAACGGTCGCTGGCGTTTGGAAGATGGTTGGGAGAATAGGATGCAAGACTGCTTCGAATGCCGATGCCGTGAGCAGCTTGGTTCTCTGTAACTCTAGGCAATCAAATAGGGCGTGATGCCATTGACACTTGACGCCGGCTAGTGGTCGGTCCGAGATGGAAGTTCTCAAGTCGCCGCTAGTTTTGTCTCGCGAAATGTGGGCTACAGTCCATTCATCGTATCAAGGAAGACTTGGCAGGGACTGAACAGGGAATGAAAGCGTATCTCTGTCGAAGGTTTTGGGAGATATGATGATATATTTGACTTGATTTCCGATTCGCAGTCGATATTCACTTTCAAAGGAATCTTCATCATCCACTTCCATGGAGAGGACAGCCGGATGCATTGGGTTCTCTGAATTTTGATAGGAAGACATATTTGGCAATGCCCTCCCCCCAACTATGATCGAAAGCTGGGTTTTATAATATATGCTTGAAATTACCTTAACCGCCGCTGTGCTTGCTATTTTTCTATCTTCGGAAGAAGATAGTAAGGTACTCTGTTGTCCTAAAGGATCGACATCCTTGGAATTATGGGATTGTTAGGAATGTCGAGCGGGGTTAGGCAGGCTAAGAAAGTCTAGACCCGGCCACCGTCTCATCTCAGCGGCAAGGCCTCTACGCAATTTGCTCAATTAATTCAGCCACATATACATATCAGCGGTTGGCGCAACTTGTGCATGTAAATGAAGTCGAGAACTCTGCAGGTGATCATATTTATAGAGTCTTCTGTAGTAGTGATTTTAGCTCCGCGGTTACCTGAAACACCAAACTCTATGAAACCCACTCTTGGTGGATCTTTCATTGGTCCAGGGGCTTTTTTTGTCTCTAAATTTGGAGGAAATGGAGTTAAATTGACAATAAATGACGACCGTGATCGTCGTATGCAACACCTGTGGTACTATCCTCGTCTTTATCTCAGTGTGCCAGAGCCGCCAGCCCCAAATGCTCCCAAGTGCTTCCTGAGCCAACAGGAACCGAGGCAATATTCGACCTCGCAGATATAAAATGTTCGCCTGGGGCATCATTTAAACAGTAGCAGCATCAGATTCCACTCAAGCTCTTCTTTTATTGCATCGGCAAGAAGCAAACTTTTAGAACGGTCCACCACCACCATACAAGTTTCTCGATAGCGCAAGTTCTGTTCTGTTCTATGCACTAGTCGCTTCTACCGATTATCGGCCAACGTACAAGTCGTTTGACAGCAGAAAATCGTAAGGAGAAGACCTTTCCCCATATATCTAAGCCCCAATTAACTTCGGATACCCTACCAGGTCAAAATGTGCGAATCAAAGTATATCCAATATACATGTGGCTGCAGGAAGGAGTGGGAGTTCGAGCAGTATTTGGACCGCCGGGGAACAAACGTCAAATGCGATCCAGTCAAAAAGGTATTTGGCAAAAACTCGAACAATTATTGTGCAAGGCACCTGGTCAAGCCAGACGCAGAGGTGAAATTCATGAATCAAATGGGACAAATCATGGAGGAATAAAGTACAGTATTGTACTTTGAGATAGCTGGAATATGTCCGCTTTCTAGGCTCTTCTTTGAAAATTCTAGGTAGTCTGGCTGCAATACATTAGCAAATGGACTTCATATGATTGTCATTCTCTTCTTCGAAAGTAGCCTCCTGTCCGAGCAGACACAGGTAGCTCGGGTGGCCGGTTTTTACCGTCGCCACTCGATCTCCACAGGAGCTGTGCCTGTTCACACCACCGAAAATGCTCCAAAAAGCTGTCTTGCGCATACACTTTGTCTCGAGCCTCGTATCCCCATTTCGTGCCCCTGGTGCCGATAATACCTTTCTCAATACCAAGTTGACACCCAGCACACGAAATCCCGCGTTCCACTCTGCAAGTCTGTTTATCGTAATAAGGAAGTGCACACGACCCCATGAAGTTGATTTTTTGATTTCGGTTTAAGCCCGCTGGTTGGGCTTGCGGAAGTCTAGGCGGTTGCCGTCTGCAAGCCAAAGTGGCCTGATAGAGAGAAACGATCGTAATGCGGGAATTTTGTACAGATTCATCCATCGAGTATATTCCAGGCAAGGCCTTAAATGATCTCAGTTGGTCTAATTCGGCTTTGGTCATGTGAAAATGCTTTCGGACTGAGGCGAGAGTCCGCACTTGGGTTTCCGAAGACCACTGGAGGCAATTAAAACAGCACCTCTTCCAAATTAGGAGGGATATAAACCCGCCAAATTCGCCGCAAAAATTGCATGCTTTAGTACATAATGTGTTGTAAAAGTCGAGTCGAGAAATGTGCACGGCAAGTCGTGTTCGTAACAAAGCACAGAAGAGGTTCAGTCCATAAGAGACTACCCGCTGATACTGCTGGAGAGAATCTACCATTTGTCTTGATCGGAGGTTTATTTGTCGAAATTTGAACAGAGAATGCATGTCCAGACGGTACAATGTGTCAAATAAGAGCTCGAGGGGTAGCCGGTCGAGGGAGCCGACTCCAACATTTGATGTCCGCTGAAAGGGTGTTGCTATTGACGGGCGAATATCGACGTGTTCACGGGGCGAGAACCAGATGACGGATAGACAAAAGTCTCTGCGGTGGTAGGCGGTGGTTCGAACAATAGCTTCGGCTTGTTCTTCGTCGAAACAGTGTTCGGTGGCGGAACGATATCCGCGGGGCAAAAGGGTAGCCATTCTGGAGGTTTGTCCGGTACGGGGTACGCGGTGGAAGGGGTAAATGTCGACAAGAATCGCGACTCTCCAGTGTACCTCCCTGAACACTTCTTGGAGGCCGATATTGTCGTATAAAAGACGCGACTGGATCACGGACCTGGATGGCTAGAACTCACTGCACCGGGATTTCAATGGCGTTAAGGGGGGTTTTATTGTTGATAGGAGCTCTTCGCGGACTTATATACTTTTTCCTTTATGACAACATAGTTAGGTTTTGTACCCGCTTAGGTAATCCCATCTGGGCCAGCAAGTTACGGCGCTCCAAAGTGGAGCTGGGAGTAAAAATGGGCCAATCAAGTCTAGTACTTGCCATTCCCAGAGACAACCGCAGGTCCTTCGAGGATCGACTGAAGAGTCTCTGAGGTCGGTATCCTCTTTGTGGAGATTCTAAATAATAGTAACGAAGAAACTCTAGGCAGTTTCGCGGTTTCATTCGCGAGACCTATGTCTCCTCTCTCTGAGTTCGCACTTGAGGTTCAAGGAACAACAAAGCTCACAGGGCCGGCTTGTACGTTCCTGTAGCCAATGGGGCAGTCTCTGGGATCGACTTCCTTCAAGGATGAATCAAGAAATTTGAGGGGCAGTTTCATACACAGGCCCTATCGACTTCAGGGACGTACAGGTCAGCACTGGGAGCTTCGCTGCTCCAAGCCCTTCCTACGGGTAAATTGTGGGTCATCAGGCTCGAGCAAAGTGCCTCTAGGATCGACTAGAGTCCCCAGGGCTAGTATGTGTACAGCAAAAAGAGACATGGACCATCTCAGTTTGGAAAAATGAGGGAAATACTGATCCCAAAGACACTTCTTTGATCCTGGAATGGCCAGTGGTTGCTCTAGGAGCTTTACGTAGGGTTTCAGGAGCAATATAGCTCCCAGGAGAGGTGATCTATGTTCCCACAGACGAACTTAACACTCCTGGGAAGCTGACCCGCGATCCTGGGAGCTTTCAAACCCTCCTAGGTGTAAACTCGTCCATCCCCGGACAGAAAGCTTTTGAGGGACTCTAATAAAGCTTCCGCGTGCCTGGGAGCCATGCCATGGATCCTGGGGTCGAATATGATCCCAGGAACGTGAGGGGTCTCACGACCTAAAATGTACAGAGTTATGACATATCCACTAGTACATACACTTTTGTTATTTTTTCCGACATCTCGAGACCGCGCGAATGGTAAAATAAACATTTCCATTGGTTCTATATTTTCAGGCTCCACAATAGACCTGTTTGAACCCCGCTGGAGTAGATGGTGACAATGGTACCAGCGACGATGGAAATGGAAGGGGGAGGGTGTCCAAAAGAAATAGCGAGAATATCTGGCGGGGAGCGCGATATTTTCGTTCTTTACCCTTTACTGAGATGCGTAATACCGCCGGCCTAGGTTGCGCTGCTGAGCGTAGGACCTGATCAACTGCGCGCACCGATTAGTCGGTTCTAACCGTTCTGGAAAAAGGCCTATATATCGTACCATAAAAGTAAATACATGCATTCTTGTAAATTAGAAATATGGGACAAAGATAAGAAGTAATTCCATGAATTTGTCACTGGCTGGTCTTCTTTGCTTGTATTCATTTGTCTGGAACGGAACGCACCTAAGATTCCTTGCAGACCTAGATTTTCCTTGGCTGCCGTTAAATGAAACGCGTCTCAAATGCAAGCCGGCACCTGAAATTATGAGTTGATACAATTTCCGAGAAAGCCTTTTTGGGCATTGTCAGGTGACATATGCAGATCGAATTGCTCTTGCTGAGCAGCTGCACGAATGATAGGATCAAACGGCATGATTTGTTTGGTGGCTTTGACAGAGACTTGCCAGGAAATGCAAGACTGTGTCTCAACGTTGCCACAGAATGCCTCCCAGAGAAGGCACACGTTTGCATTGCCACCGGGCTCAGATACATGCATCTGGTTCAGTACCCCTGTGACCTGAGAATAGTCAAGCCAAAGTCTCCTGGTGGGACCGGAGATACCATGAGTTTCACTAAACTCCTCCGAGAAACGGATTGTGCCAGCAAATATGCCTAAGAAGTCTCCTTCGCAAATGGGTACAATAGACGAGACAAATAAAGACCCGTTGTCTTTGGGCAAAAGGGTGACGAATGCGGACTTATCGGTCCCACCTTCATACACCAATTCATCGCCGTGTCTAATGCCTAGATTATCGGCACAAACAGACTCCGCGGCGCACTGTTTGAAAGTTTCCTCTTCAGCGAGAGAAGCTTACTCATTCGAAGCACTATTCCACGAGGTTTCTGGCACTTTCAATAATCCTCGCACGTGAGGATCGTTGAGATAGCTTACCCGTTTCAAGTCACCTGTGCTCAGTGATAAGATCTGCGTTTCTAATTGCTCGATGTGAGGGTGATACTGCTTTTCCCACTCTAAAACTTTGTTCACAAGTGAGATTTCCGCTGTTTTGGAATAGCTTCTGCAAAAGCTGTCGAATTCTTTCGAGCGGTAAAGAAGAATTTTGTGAGCGCCAGCCTCACGCATTTCATATATATTCTTCCAGAATGTACGATATTGTCGCTGATTCTCGGGGCCCAAGCTATGCCCGATGTCCTCCATGAATCTCCTTGTAGCAGCTTTTTCCGCCATTGAAAATCCATCGATCGGGCCTTTCGCGGGGGGCAGTGTTGCAGGATCGATCAGAGCGGCGCATTTAAGGATGATTGGCCAAAAGATGGTTTCGTTGTAGTTGGTCTGTATTGCTCTGCCAGCGTTTAAAGCAGTGTCCCTTCGAATGGTCTTGATTGCTTGATCATAACTGTATTTGGACAACTCGTTGACATAATCCTGTGTCTTCTCCAGCTTAGTTGTTACCATAGCTGTGCTGGTGTGTTGCCCGTACTTCGCTATAGCGGAGTTCGATTTGACGCATTCCATGATTATCGTTGTTATGACCTTCATTTCGTAGGCTGAATTCATATATGATGGCAAGGAGCTATCGCGGGGTGTCGGTAAACTCTGAGGATTAGCGTCATCGACCTGAGGCAAAAAGTGAATCATAAGTCCCTTATTTCATCAATCATGGATTTGAAGCAGTAGTGTCTTACCGTTTGGCACGTTTGAGGCGACAGATTATTTGGGGGAGCCTTGCCGCTAGATATCCCACTTTCACAACTTGCAGATGCTCCAGGATGTTGGTCCATCAACTTCAAGCCATGACCGTTGTTTCTCTTCTTCCTTTTTCGCTCCCCTATGCCAGCCATATCATTGTAAGTCGTTCGGCCTTCTGTTACAGCCTGTTTCAGAAGGCGCTCAGATCCACGTTTGTCATGTGGAGGAGTGAGAGGTGTTTCGATCGTCTTTTCCTTCAGCTGAGAGTTAGGCTCGGACCCGCTGCCTCTCTCGGTCCTGAGTTGGGCTTCGCGAACTAGAAAAATTGTCAATGTCCCGATATCGCTTAGCACTTGGCGGGGGCTCGCTCACGATGTTCGACAGCATGGGCGGTAAGTGACCTGAGAAGCTCCTCACTGCTTTCAACTCCACAAATTGCAAACAACTCCCGAATCTTCTGGGCTGCCAGGCCCGAAACAGTATCATCCATAGCGAGAGATGAGAACAGGAGGGAAGTTTGATTTCTTGGAGGCTCAAACCGGAACTCCCAACTAGGAATCCCATTTCGAATGTTCTAGGCATTGACACCCTTGAGGGCGGGGATATGAGCCAATCAAATCAACCCCAGTGACTCGCAAAAATAGCACCATCCAGGCCAAAGCAAGAGTTCACAGAGATTCGCCTTCTTTTGGGTGTCCGTCTCATCTACCTCATAAGGCAAAAATGCAACAGTTTAATGCATATCAAGGTGTCAACCGTTGCTGCAACATCCATCTTGAAAGTCCCACTCAAAATCATTATTTTTGAGGTGGATGTCAAACAGCCCATCTAGCATATGCCTGACCACACAGGGCCTTTGAAGACCGTCGGAATTTGTGCTTGAAGTTCTGAAAATAGATATTGAGGCCGCTCATGGACGGTGGCCCGCAATTTTTTTTCGAGTCGAGAAATGTCCTCAACGCACAGACAAACCAGCGAGGGCGTAAATGGCATCACTCGAAGTCAACACGTTGGGATCATGATTCAGACTGTACAATCTTCCCATTTTGTGTAAGTTAGCCGTGTCGACTGCTTTGAGGTTGATTTGTTGACCAGTCAAATTGTGAATGATGAAGGCCGATCAGCGTTATGTTGATGTGTTGATGGTGAAGATGGTGATAAAATGAATTAAACGACGGCTGGTGAAAGAAAAACGATATTAATCTTGGGCAAAAAAGTACGGGCGTTCAATTACTGCCATTGGCTAAATAGATTGTGGTTACTTTCTCTTCCTGAGCCCACATGCGTCACGTGCATTCCCTAGTACCCCTCTACCTCCCAGGCTGGGGGCGCGCTGCGCACGCATTTGCCCTGAAAAACGAGCCTATAGGCGACCGGGCACGTGGACGGTGATAAAGTCAGACTGTCAACCTGTCCAGTGAGGATAGATTTCATTGGCTCATCAGCTTGCTCTAGGAGCGGATCTCTGCAGTGGCTTTCATTGGATCTAGAAAGTCTATGGAAAGACAGACAATGTGTGATTTGGTTCACTTCTACTCCCACGGAGCAGCCCTCTTCCAGACGGAGCCTTCTTTCGGGCAGGACCAAGTGACCATCACTCTTGAAATGAGCTAGCTGAAAATAATCTGTTGCCCACGTCCTTTCACGTTATCACTTCCAGGATACTCTACATAGCTCTACCAAGAAATTCTCATTGTCTCCTTAAAGAGGGCATGCGAATACACGGATGAAAAGGAAGAGCGCGACACTAAACCTTGTGTCGCGTCCATTGCCCCACCCTACTGTCCAGTGCGTCCCTACTCTCCAGTGCGTCTCTACTCTCCAGTGCGTCCCTACTCTCCAGTGCGTCCCTACTCTCCAGTGCGTCCCTACTCTCCAGTGCGTCCCTACTCTCCAGTGCGTCCCTACTATTTAGTGCGTCCCTACTATTTAGTGCGTCCCTACTATTTAGTGCGTCCCTACTATTTAGTGCGTGCCTCCTCTCGAGTACGTCCCTGCGCTGCCACTCCTGCGGGTTCGTAGACAATCTACAGTTCCCCGCTACTCCTAAGCCCTCTATGCAATTGTGATGGCTTGGAAATTTTAAATTTCGAGAAGCACCAGGTTTCCCCGTTGCTCCTAGACTAACCGCACGATTATAATGATCGCTAGAAATCATATATCCTACGAAAGACCACGTTTCCCTGTTGCTTCTAGACTGACCACGATTATAATGGTTGGTTGATTGATCCAACGACTTGTCAGCGCTGCTCAATGTGTCCGAGCCGCGACGAGCCAAAGGCGGTAGCTTCCCGAATGCTGTGTCCTCTCCCGACTTCAGGTATTTAGCGGCTTTCCAGATGTTATCGTTGTCTGCGAGAAACTCATTCCAGTGCTTCTTCTTTTGTTTGCGGATGACATCGTGGTATTGTTTCGCCACACTTTGCGCTATCTTTTCCAGGTGCGGTACTTTTCGTCCCGCCTGGCGCTCCGAGCGAGCATGATTTCGCCAGTATGTGTATATATGGCGCAGCTGTGTTAAGTCGGCTGTCTCGGTCTCAATAATCGCGGTGGAGAATTTTCGTGTTCGTTGCGGTCGGGCGGTTCAGGGGTTCGTGTCTCGGCCCGTCCCGACATTTTCGCTGGGTCTAGGACTTTTTGAAATCGAAGTATGATACAGATGGGCTCGAAATCGGTTCGCCAGTCTCGGCTCTCAATCCAATCGTTGGGCAGTACCGTTCACTTGACTCTCATGGAGTACAGTAGTCGAAAGTGGTTACAGGGCCGCTCGAAATCAGTTTCACCACGCACATCATTCCCGAACCATATTTTGAAACACGCTAGCCCATCTTTGATTTAGCTCCTTTCAGAAATTTCGTAATGCGCTGTAACGCACAATCACATGATAACAAATCCCCGAAGTTACTGGAAATACTGATACAACTCTTACTCGACATCGGTGCTTATCATAGCCCATGCTCAGCCCCGCTTTGGGCATCGAAGCAGCTGTGGCCCTGCTCTGAAGCTGAAGCCCGGCTCTGAAATAACAGCTATATATATTTAATCGACGGCTGAATCGCCTGTATTCCCGGTCTAAAGAACTGCTATCGATCACGATGGCTGATCCACTTGCAATCGCATCAGGGATTGCAGGGCTGCTTTCGCTTGGTATCCAAGTCACCCAGTCCTTGGTCAATTTTTACGCTACATACAAGGACCAAGACACCGATCTGGCAAAGGTTGCGCAGAACCTCGATAATCTTCAGAGTATCTTTCGAGCCCTTGATGTTGCAGTAGAGGAACGGCGATCGCAGGCGGACCCGCAACTTCTACTCAGAGAAGTCGAGAAGGCGGTGCAGAAATGCGAGGAAATCATCACCGACCTGCAGAGCGAGTGTGACAAGTTCCAAAAAGACTCGGCCGTCGGTTTGAGGGATCGCGTCAAGATTGCTGGGCGTCGTGCGGCCTATCCATTTCGGAAAAGTACCATACAGAAGCTCGAAGAAGACGCCAGCGACATACGTGAAAACCTTTCGTTTGCACTCGATGTCCTACAGCTTAAGAGCCAGAGCCAGATCCAAGATGGCATATCAGAAGTCAAATCACTTGTCGAGCGAACAAATGCTAGTCAAGTCTCTCTCATGATTCGTTCTTGGCTTATGGCACCGGATGCATCTTCCGACCACAACGCTGCGTGTGCGAAACGTCACACAAGCACAGGTCTATGGTTCGTCAATAGCCGTCAATTTCAGACTTGGATAGAGGAACGGAATTCCCTTCTATGGCTGAATGGTTTCGCAGGATGTGGCAAGTCGGTCCTCTGCTCAACCGCGATCCAGCATACGTTTCGTGAGATACGTCATAAACATGGAGTCGGAATCGCGTGGTTCTACTTTTCCTTTCGTGACGAGACAAAGCAAGATGCCAACGGCATGTTACGGGCATTGCTGTTGCAGCTATCCGTCCAAGTACAAGACGGCGAGAGAGATCTAGGACAACTGCATGCATTGTATAGATACGGGTCTCCTTCAGTGGATGTGCTGCTGGACTCACTACGATGCTTCCTTAATCGATTCCGCGATACTTATATTCTACTCGACGCGCTAGATGAGAGCCCTCGAGACTGCAAAAGGGAAGGCGTCTTAAGGGCGATACAAGTGATACGCAGTTAGTCGATATCTGGTGTCCATCTTTTGGTGACGAGCCGCAATGAGCTAGATATCCGCGAAGCATTAGGTTCTTCTCGTGACCAAGATCTTTCGCTTAGGAATTCGGAAATCGACAGAGACATAGCTAACTTTGTCTCTTATCAGCTCAAGAATGACGCGAAACTCTAGAAGTGGAAAGCGCGCCACAACGAGGTCTAGGAAAAATTGACAACAGGTGTATAAGGAGTGTAGGTGCTCGTCAAGAACTCGTTTCCACTATTTTGACCAAGATGACATATAGGTTCAGATACGTCGAATGTCAGTTCAATGCCCTTCGGCGGGCGAAAACCCAAAACCAGCTTGACGAATGCCTACGCACGTTGCCCCGTGATCTAGATGAGTCGTACGAGCGAATACTGTGTAGTATTGCAGATGAATATGTTGAGGACGTGCGGCAGGTTTTGACTCTACTTTGCTTCTCCATCCGACCACTCACAGTCAATGAGTTGATAGATGCCTACGCTGTTGACCTAAATGAGCCACCGTAGCTTGATCGTGAGGGTCGTTCGTACGAGCAAGATGACCTCGTCGACATTTGCCTCGGTCTTATCGAGATCGCAGCCACGGAGGACGACAATAGGCAGACCAACTTGACTGTTCGTATAGCGCATTTCTCAGTTCAGGAGTACCTCCAATCGAATCGCATCTTATAACAAAACTCAAGAATATTTGCCATGCGAAGTGCTCCTACGAATACGGAAATAGCCCAGATATGTCTAGTCTACCTCCTAGAGCCTGCTCTCTCTAGGGGGCTATTGGATGAGGCGAAGCTCGAAGAATTCCCACTCGCTCGTTTCGCCGCGATTCATTGGTTTCATCATTATGCAAACTTAGAGGAAGGGAAGACAGCAATCGAAAAGCTAATGTCGAAGCTTTTCAAGGTCGAGACAAAGGCTTTTGTTACGTGGATACGGTTGCATGACATGGACTGTCCGTGGAAAAAATATGTGGACTATGAGCGTCCTATTGCTGATATGGCATTGCCTCTGTACTATGCAGCCTTGTTGGGGTTGGAAACCGTCGTGAACAGTATCTTACCCACCGACACTAGGGACGCGAATTCATCGAATACAGTAAATGCTCAAGGGGGCTTATTCGGCAATGCACTCCAGGCCGCTTCATTCGGAGGTTATAAAAGGGTGGTGCAGATTCTCCTAGATCGAGGCGCCGACGTCAACGCTCATTATGGAGAATATGGCAATGCACTCCAGGCCGCTTCATTCAGAGGTCATGAAAAGGTGGTGCAGGTGCTCTTAGATCGAGGTGTCGACGCCAACGCCCAGGGTGGATACTATGGCAATGCACTCCAGGCCGCTTCATTCAGAGGCCATGAAAAGGTAGTGCAGGTGCTCTTAGATCGAGGTGTCGACGCCAACGCCCAGGGTGGATACTATGGCAATGCTCTCCAGGCCGCATCATTCGGAGGCCATGAAAAGGTGGTGCAGATGCTCTTAGATCGAAGTGCCGACGCCAACGCCCAGGGTGGGCGCTATGGCAATGCACTCCATGCCGCATCGCTCGAGGGTCATGAAAGGATAGTGCAGATGCTGCTGGATCGAGGGGCCAACGTTAACGCCCAGGGTGGGCGCTATGGCAATGCACTCCAGGCCGCTTCATACGGGGGCTATGAAAAGGCGGTACAGATGCTGCTAGATCAAGGTGCCGACGTCAACGCCCAGGGTGGAAAGCATGGCGATGCACTTCAGGCCGCATCATCGGGAGGCCATGAAAAGGTGGTGCAGATGCTCTTAGATCGAAATGCCGACGTCAACACCCAAAGTGGATTCTATCCCAGTGCACTCCAGGCCGCATCACATGGAGGCCATGAAAGGGTGGTGCAGATGCTGCTAGGTCGAGGTGCCGACGCCAACGCCCAGGGTGGAGACTGGGGCAATGCACTCCAGGCCGCGACATTTAGAGGCTATGAAAAGGTGGTGCAGATGCTGCTAGATCGAGGCGCCGACGCCAACGCCTATGGCGGGATCTATGGCAATGCACTCCAGGCCGCATCACATGGAGGCCATGAAAGGGTGGTGCAGATGCTGCTAGATCGAGGAGCCGACGCCAACGCCCAGGGTGGATACTATGGCAGTGCACTCCAGGCCGCATCACTCGAGGGTCATGAAAGGATAGTGCAGGTGTTGCTAGATCGAGAGTCCGACGTCAACGCCCAGGGTGGAGAGTATGGCAATGCACTTCAAGCCGCGTCAGTCGGAGGCCATCAAATGGTGGCACAGCTACTGTTGGATAGAGGGGCCGATGTCAAAGCTCAAGGTGGGCGACTTAGCAATGCACTCCAAGCCGCGGCACTCAGAGGCCATGGAAACTTGGTGCAGATGTTGCTGGATCGAGGTGCCGACGTCAACGCCCAGGGTGGAGAGTATGGCAATGCACTCCAAGCCGCATCACTCGAAGGCCATCAAAACGTGGTGCAGATGCTGCTGGATCGAGGTGCCGATGGCAACTCCGAAGGGGGAGAATATGGCAATGCACTCCAGGCAGCATCACGTGAGGGCCTTGAAAAGGCGGTGCAGATGTTGCTGGGTTGAGAGGCCAGCGTTCACGCCGATCATCAGTATGACCAGTATTGAAACCTCTCCAGTGGCATACTCTCAATTGTTCTTAAAGGATCAGGTCTCGCCACATATTCCCTAAATAATAGACTTGAAGTCTCCCGCTCGTCTATGGTTGCTCTTGCTCTATTCAAGCGGCAATGTCCTTTGGAGTGAAGAGCTTGGGCGTGCTTTGATCGTCGACTTTCATCGCTCTACTTTGAAATGTCGACCGACTCTGCAGCATACCGGGGGCAGCAAAACGACGACTATGTCGAGCTGAGACAGGAGACGCAAAACTTCTTCGTGTGTCGTGAGAAGTAAATCCACTTTCTACCTGTTAAACTAGCGATCTTATTCTTGATACCCACATTTCTGTCGTCATCCATTTATTTCGAGGCGAAATGCGCTTCTATGCATGCTTCGACCCCACCGAATCATGATGCGAGCCGGGCTTCCGAACTTGGGGCTTTTTCCAATGATATACCATTATGAAAGCATTGCAAAGGTTCATTTAATTTCAATACCTAGCTAAGACTGTCGTGTATAAACCGAAAATATCGCGGTGAAGGTCGCGGGTTGCTGAAAACCCTGACAGCAGAATTATCCGCTCAAGTTTGCCATGCATGTCGTTAGATATACATTCCGTCAACAGGACCCTGCCTGCCAAACTCCTTGGAAAATTTCTTGTTCGATTTCGCGGCTAATTCCAAGTATTTATAGCTGACTTGCGTTGTATCTGCCTCAGCGAGAGCGTGTGCAACTGCTGCGATATTTGAGATCTGATTGATGGCCGTCAGCAAGTGATATATACCCGATAGTATGGAACTCACCTCTCGTCCATTGAGAGCCAAAGATTCCAATCGCTGGATGTCCTCCTCTTCAATCACGGCAGGACCTCGGAGTGTTCGGGCCTTGAACAAAAAGGTTCTCCAGAGGCCTCTGCGGAAGTCTTTTGTCAAATCTTCATACTTAATCGTCAAATGGATTCGGCTCAGAATTGCATCGTCAAGCTGGATACCCCGGTTCGAAGTCAAGAAAAGCAGTCCCCGGTAATACTCTAGCTTGCGGAGAAACACAGTGACCAGACGATTATGGCTATCATGGAGCTCGGTACGACTTGCCATGAACGCGTCGGCTTCATCCAAAAGAAGAATAGCGTTGAAATGCTTTGCGATTTTGAAAATGATTTCAAGTTGTGATTCAAGTGCGTGGCTGTCCCCATGATCGACAACAAGCTCACCTGCAGATATCTGAGAAAGTCAGCTAGGCCAATATGCACGCAATGAATTGATGATACCGAGTAGAGAGGGAGTTTGAAATATTCCGAGGTTGCCTCGACGGTGAAAGACTTCCCGACGCCTGGCGGACCACTAGCACGTGTCAGCTGAAGACTATGCAGGGCAGATACAATTCACCGACATACTTCAGCAACATATTGAGCCCTTGACCTTTACCGTCAATCGCGTCGTCAAACGGTACCGTCGGTATCAGACCTAGGCGGGTTTTTGCCAATGACAAGAGGAGTGTCTTGGTCTCGGAGGCTATCTGCAGGCAATCGAACGATTCAGGTGACCAATCCACGTCCCTAAGAGCACTAACTGCGCACTCCACTGGGATCACATTAGCCGACACCAAACCATTGTCAGTCGTGTCACATACAGAACATTTTCTCCTTGAAACTGAAACAGCAAAGTGTTGGGCAGGAGACCAGTAAATCCGCCTCGCTTAGCTTTTGTGCATCCACACCGTTTCCTCGCATTTTCTCCTTCTCTCGCTCACGGTCCTCTATGAGCATTGCACCAATGTCAATGACTGAAATTCCATCCTTATCCTTGACCCCAATGTCGCGGAGTGACGGTCGGGAGTAATTTGGCTGCATTTCATGGAAAAATGCGGCGTCCACTGCCACTCGACTGTTGATGTTGACTTTGATAGCCTTCCCCTTGTTCATAAAGAATGCGCTGCCTTTACAGTGCCGAACGTGTGAGCCGGCCAAATCTCGAAACTTTTGACCCCTCTCGATCAAGTCTTTCCGGACTTGCTCGTGATTTGGATGGTAGTGGAGAGGGAAGGCCTTAAGGGTCTCGATCCGCTTTGACCCCCGAAACTTTGCAACACGCAGAAAGATTCCGGCCTCGCCGAACTTGACTCCGTCATAATCAAGGAATCGGCACTCGAGATTCAACCACGTCTCGTCATTTTGTGTCATCTCTTCGCCCGCGTCGAATACGACACATCGCGGCTCTTTTGTGCCAATGCATGTGGTATAAACATGGCAACCAGGCTTGAAAAGCGCCCAAAGAAGGTCATATGTAATATGACCGTGCTGCAACATTGATTCGAGACGCTGCAAAGCAGAAGTATGTGTATGCTTGAGGTAGTCGATGAGCAGGAGGAGATGCTCCGCATGTGCCGACTTATTGTCTGAACTGCTATCCATGTTCTCCGCACATCTGTCGAGCTCTGGGAGGAAATGGAAAAGGAAATTTTGCTCGATCTAAATCCACGTCAGCGTGCTCCTTGATGATAATACTGTCTCAATTACCGATGGCTTGTCCTCTATCAGGCTAACGGCCTTGATGTCGTGCAGCACGTCTCGCAGGATGTCGCGTAGTCCTTCCGACTTGATGTCTATGAATGGCACTACCTCCTTGGACGTCCGGTCTGATCATACTATTAGTAGGTTTTCGGTCCGGCATGCAAAGGTGTCACGTACCAACACGTTCACGGACAACAAATGCATACTCAGCATAGTCGTCCAGGTCATTGCTAGTCTCCGTTGGCTCGGCAATCTTGTATTTACATGCCTCTTTGTCCCAGCTAGACCCGTGTCAGCTATCTGAAAAAGTGGAAAGGGTGGTTGGCTGGTGGCTCATACGTTTCCACAATTGTTTTGAATTGGGATTTTGATGCCCATTTCTCAAAAGACTTGAAATCATCCGGTGTAGTACAGATCGGAATTTCGAGATCAATCTCGTCTGCCACCTGAGCGTTCTCTTCCTGCTCATCGCTGGAAAAGCAAGGCTGAGAAGGCTCAGAAGGCTCATTTGCCACGGGAGGCTCAGCTGAAGAATATCCTTTGCGGATGACCTTCACTAACAACTGCTTCAGTTGAACCATATCGGGGCCTGGTTGGGAATGATCCTGGAAAACAGGAGTGTTTGGAGGTTCTCGGTTGGTAAGACTGAGCAGCACACTTTCAAAGAGATACTTCAGATCCTCCACGGCATCTCGAGGCGTGGTTGATTCCTTCGTTGGGCTATCCGGCGGCGTCATGCCTTGGTGACAGGGAGACGAAGTCTTTTTCGATGCCATGTGCTCTGAAAGCAATCTTGGGCTGCTTTGAACCGGTGCCATGCTGTTTGATGGAATTTGTTTGTACGATGGAGAAAGAAAGATTGAATCAGCACGGTAAAAGCTGATATGAATGTAAACGAAGAACTCAATAAGGCCGAGAGGTTCCTCCCATTTTATATCTTCGTCGCCCACCCCTGCCCCATGTGAAACCCTTTAACAAAAGTACGCCGCAGATCGCGTGAACTTGGATGAACGGTCTTGAAGGGATTGAGTTGTGCTTGTGGGAGCAAGCCTATCTCTGCCGTCTGGGACGGCTAAGGTGGATAGGTACAAAGAATCTGCCCGTCTAGGTTCGAGAATGCATGCCTTCAAGACTATGATGTAAGAAAGAGATGCGAAATATCGTCGAACATTCAGCGATATTTCGACGAAATTTCGATGAATTTATGCAGTTTAATCTTATCTCGGATTAATATTCAGAGGGAGCAAAATAATTTTACAGAGATTTGGGAAAATTATTCCAAGGATTCGAATTTTATTGTTCTTATTATGTTGATCTTGAAGATGGCGAAAACTTTTGGTCTTTAAGCTCAAAGATTATTGCCATTGTTGCTTGATCAGGTCTTGACAGGAGACCAGCGCCCAACCCTTCGGGCAAAGACATTTGTCACGTGATAATATAAAGGCGGATTTCATCCTGCCCCTCACCTGCCCACTCATCTATTTACCAGCGCATTACAACGACTGCTGCTTGACTCAAAGGTGATACAGCCCCAAATGACTGTGGTCATTAATCCTTGACGGAAAATTCGTGTTACTTGAAAGGAAATAACTCAAAAAGCGACGTCGTTGGTGATTATCCTTAATCTCATCGGACTAAGCGGCGACGTAAGTCAAGCGCGTTCACTTCTCATCTGGCGTACGTGTAATGTATTCTAATATACAAAAGCGTTCATTCTCCCCGCAAGTTTGGATTCCACCAGAAAAGCGCACACAGAGACCAGTACCATGGATAAGGCAGCCAAAAAAGTTCGCACCGAAAGCTCATCAGACAGCGGGATTCTCGAAGAATGCAAGAAAGAAGTGAGAATGATATGTTAGATGTTCATCTGTGAGAAGAATACTAATTACCCCAGGTAACATGTGACTTATGCGATCGAATAAACTGGACGACTCCATCAAAAGGTGTTCAGACTACCCCTCCACCGAGAACGGTTGCAATTGTCGTGGATGTTGTTCAGAACAGAGGCGCTATACGGATTTTCGAGAAAGAAAGCGGTGAATACATCGACGGAGTTGGAACCGAGGAGGAAGGCTTTCGGATCATCATTCCATGGAGAGACACTTGGCGCTTCAGAGCATCGGGCGTCGTTGAAGTTGGGTATATAGTAGCAAAGGATGCAGATTAGTTTGGCGGCTGGTTCCATGTTGCCAATGGACGGTGTAAGATTAATCGATCCGTCAGCTCGTTACTGACTGGAATTGTAACAAAAGATGTCGTGTTCACTCCATACGTGTCTGTGAGCCATACTGCGCCTGATATCTGGCCCGATTCTATGATATCTCGAATATCTTGCACGTTGAGCTCGTATACATCTCCGGTCAAGGGGTCTTTAGGTCGATTTAGCCAGTAATCATCCAATTTGCGCCAAGGCCATACCTATGTCTTGCCGCTTCCCGGGTTGAAATGTCAACAA